ACCCACGTGGTCCAGTCGCCCACAATATAAACAGAAATACGGGAGCCGCTCATATTCGATTTCATACTGTTTTGCCAGTTCATCTGCCGACAAACGCAGTGTGACACATCGTTTTAGCGGCTCATTGATTTTCAAACTCACCCTGATACGTAGAAAGCTCCCCAAGCATTCTCCATTTAAGCCACGATCCACCATGTAGAACGTACCCAAAAAATTACCTAGTTTTTCTCCCATGGCCGGGGTCAGAAAAATCGGCGGAATACGGCGCACACGCACCCAAAAACTTTGCGAATCCACCGAAACGGACATAGGATCCACTTCACCATCAGTGCTCGCCAGTAGCAACAGCGCCCTATCAAAAGTCCAAGGGGAGCCCCTCATCACCTTCTTCCTATCGAAATCTGTTTTGAAAGAGAACAAGAACCTCTTGGGGTCGTCCAGAGACACCGCAGTGAACTCCTCCCTGGTATGCCAAATCCTCTTCAACGTGCCAAATAAAGCCTCCTTATGAAACGCCTTTGAAGTGAGCAATTTCCCAACAAGCAAGAACCGTTCAGCCTTCAAGTTTCCCAGATCCTCTAACCCGACAACCTCCACTGATTCAGATTCTGAAATTGCCAAGGAAGAGGTGAGACCTGATACCAGTTCATCAACAGCCGCCATCATCCACTCAATGCTTCCCTGTGTAAGCCGAAGGCAACACCCAAACCCCGCTTGAACAAAAGTGCTTCCCTCTGTACGCCGAAGGCAACACCCAAAAACCCGCTTGAACAATAGTTCCGCCGTATTCCACACTGTACGTGTGATGAAACAGACACCGTTGAAAGCAGCCGTGAACCACAAGCAATCACTTAGGAACCCTAACCAACCTGTACTGGAGACTGGCGGCACTAAAACCCTAACCTAGGAGGAAGGGACTTTCTGACTATGTTGTATAAACTTAAATCTTTCTTTATTTATTACATTGTAATAATTTCAAGTATTTCTCATTTTCTTTTTGTTGGGAAAATGTAGAAGGGTGAAAATCCTACATACATTAGTAATTGGAACAACATGCATATTCTTAAGGGTAAGAGCATGTGGATCAATGAGGCTGCTGAAATTAAAGGGGTAAGGAATGCATAAACCTGCTGACAATTAACTATTGACTTGCATAATCTGCAATCCAAAAAATCAGCTGACTGGTCATGCAAGTTTTTTACGACCCATTATTTTAGATGCTAATTGTGTACTTTCGTTTTAGCATCATATAAAGGCTTTATCCATTGCAAATAGAACTAATTAATTAGAAACACAATGAAGATACGTGTCTGAGTTTTCTAAATTTTCCATGATCTTATATATTGACGGGGCATGCTAAGATTGTTTTGAAACAGAGCTGCTGCAGTTGTACTTCTATTCCTCTTTGGAGGCCCAATTCCAAACACCTATAAAACAAATTCAGTTCTAATAACCCGTTGTGCTCTTAGAAGTTAAAATTTAGGCCCAATTATAAGGGGACCATGTTGCTGGGCAAATATTTATAATCCCTGTTTTTGGAAGTTTCTTGTTTGTAATGTTGTTGCTTTCAGGAGATGCAGAAAAAGATCTTAAAAGATCTGTGAGTATTTTCAAACTTTCTGCAATCTGCATATGCAAAGAGATCTATTCCATTTTTTATGTGCCTTTTCCTTTTATTATTTGCTTCAAGTTGAATTTTTGTTTTGTTTTGTTTTGTGACTGTTTGATTAGGATAATTGGCATTGCTAGTTTATGAACACAATTGGTCGTATTGGCATCCCGTTTACTTCATTCTTTTTATGCATTTATATATATTGACATCTTTATTTTGCTTATTTTTGTAGAAGAAGATGAATGAAGAGTATGAGAAGGCCAAGCAACAAGTGGCAGAGAGTTCAGGTACTCCACTAGATCAAGTCACACTCCCTATCCCACAACAGTTAGAGATCATGACTGTAGAACTTGGGGTTGCAAAGGGCAAGAGGATTCGAGGCTTGGGTTCTAGTCTCCGAGTGGAGAGTTCGCATAGTGGTGGAGTTGCCTCTTCTTTTGCTACACAGCAAAAGGTTGAGGAACTTCAAGGCACAGTAAGTGAGCTTCAGGGCACAGTGGGTAAACTTTTGGATGTCATTGAGTGGATGCGAACCCATGATGGTCCTCTACCTTCACATATAGGTGTTCTGTCCTCGCATGTTGGTGATTCTCCTTGTGATTATGATCAAGGTAATAGTGGTGGTTCACGTAATGTTTATGAGAATTTGATAATATTGGAAATAGTCATTAGGTTGTGTGTACATACTTGATGGTTTTTGTATCTAGCCTACCTTGGGGGTTCTAGGGGCTTTGTATCTAGCTACTTGATGGTTTTTTTTATCTAGCATACCTTGGGGGTTTTTGTATCTAGCATACATTGATGTGTGCTTAAACTAGTATCTTTTCAATAGTAATTATGCTATTCCTATTAATTTCATCTATTTACTGTTTTTCAAAAACTTTATGGACTAAATAATATTCTGTTACAAAGCTTGAAATATAAATAATTATTTTTTAAAAAAAAAATCAATACACTTTTTGGCGACGAATTAGATTTCATCGCTCATTCTGGCAATACCAATATCTACAGTTTTGGCGACCAATCTGTTTCGTCGCCCATTTTGGAAAAACCAAACCAACTAACATATGCGACAAATAAATTACATCTTTCACGACCAAAAATTCGTCGCCGAAATGTTCAGGCGACCAAACATTTATTTCGTCACCAAATAATTCCATGTTTGCGGGAATTTTTGGTATTTTGGCGGCAACTCTCTCTCTCTATATGCGACCAACTTGGCGCTGTTTAGCGACGACAATTTTGGTCGCATGGTACTTTTAGCTACGAGCTTTCAACGACGACCTTGGCGACCAAAAATATTCGTCGCTATTTAGCTTTAGCGACGAAATTTGGTGTTATAGCGACCATCTTGTTTCGTCGCTAAAAGGGATTTTCCTTGTAGTGTGGGTGACTTTTTTGTAGAAATTCTCATTCATTATCAAGCATACTTCTGGTACCTCAAATCATGTGGCTGATGCGTTGAGTAGAAGGGCTTCTTTGTTAATTACTCTTACTCAAGAAATTGTGGAGTTCGAGTGTATGAAGGATTTATATGAAGTTGATGATGATTTCAAGGAAATATGGGCTAAATGTGCTAATCATGAGCCACATGCAGATTACTTTCTTAATGAAGGGTATTTGTTCAAGGGCAACCAGTTATGAATTCCTGTTTCCTCCTTAAGGGAGAAGCTCATTCGGGATTTGCACGGAGGAGGGTTGAGTGGCCACTTAGGCCGCGATACAACAATAGCAGGATTGGAGGAGAGATTTTATTGGCCACAGTTGAAGTGTGATGTTGGAACAATTGTGCGCAAATGTTATATTTGTCAGGTTTCGAAGGGACAGGTACAAAACACTGGATTATACATGCCTTTACCAGTTCCTAATGATATTTGGCAGGATCTTGCTATGGATTTTGTCCTTGGTTTGCCTTGAACTCAGAGAGGTGTGGATTCGGTTTTTGTGGTGATTGATCGGTTCTCAAAAATGGCGCATTTCATAGCTTGCAAGAAAACTACTGATGCATCCAATATAGCCAAACTGTTTTTCAGGGAGGTTGTTCGCTTGCATGGAGTACCTACATCTATAACCTCTGACCGTGATACAAAATTTTTGAGCCATTTTTGGATCACTTTGTGGAGAATGTTTGGGACTACTTTGAATCGTAGTAGCACTGCCCATCCTCAAACTGATGGCCAGACTGAGGTTACAAATCGAACATTGGGAAATATGGTACGAAGCATTTGTGGAGAGAAGCCGAAACAATTGGATTAGGCACTGCCACAAGTGGAGTTTGCATACAATAGTGCAACCGGGAAGTCACCGTTTTCCATTGTTTATACTGTTGTGCCTAATCATGTTGTAGATTTGGTGACGTTGCCTAAAGGCCAGAAAATCAGTGTTGCAGCAGGGAATTTGGCTGAAGAAGTGGTGGCTGTTCGTGATGAAGTGAAGCAAAAACTTGAGCAAATTAATGCTAAGTATAAATCCGCTGCAAATAAGCATATACGAGTTAAAGTATTTCAAGAAGGCGACTCTGTGATGGTGTTTTTGAGGAAGGAAAGGTTCCCTGTTGGTACATATAGTAAGCTGAAGCCTAAGAAATATGGTCCTCACAAGGTGCTGAAAAGAATTAATGACAATGCCTATGTTATTGAATTACCAGATTCTATGGGAATTTCCAGTACTTTTAATGTTGCTGATTTGTATGAGTTTCGTGAAGATGAAACCCTTTATCCTGAACATAACTCAGGGTTGAGTTCTTCGGAGGTGGAGGGGACTGATGTAGAACAAATGGCTGAATGGATTGAAGAAGAATTGGAGCGAAGAAGGGAAAAAGGACGCAGCGGGAATTTACAGATTTGGCGTCCGAGCTTTGATTGGGTCGCATAATACGTTCTCGAAAAAGGAACGATGTCACGAGTCCAACTCACTACTTAGTTGTGACATATGGTGGATTTTGGGCTTCTGAGGTCGTTTGTCCTTCCAAAAGTGCATTTAAAGATTGTATTCAATTTACAGACTTTCCGTTTATTTTCTGTTAAGTTTTCAATAACTCCCCAGGGCAGTTTAATGGATGAGAACGATGTATTTAGTCAGCCGTTATGCTTGGTTGAACTATTCTGAATTTTTATCAAATAATTCAAAGAGAATTTCTCTCTAACTTCTTGGTGGATTTCAAATTATTATTCTTCAGGGTTTTCGCTTGAAAACCTATTTGCTTGTGTTGCGTCACGTACCAAGTCAACTGAGCACCAAAGTTAAGATACTCCGAATTAAATAAAAATGGAACCAAAGCTGTCGAAATTTTAGAGCAACCAACCGGCAAAAGTATCGGATCCGGCTGCAAAAGTGAACTGGTTTGTACAACGTATATGACCTTGTAGTGGTAATTGGTGAGGCAAGGGATTACGGGTGCTGAATTCCATGGCCAAAATGCTTTTTGGGACGAGCAGCCAACGAACGTGTAGTTTTCAGGGGCGTTTGCGTATGAAAAGGGTGAATTTTTAAGATTGATGTCATGGTGGAGGAACCGTCTTGGGAGGCAGTTATCGGGGTCATTGATCATTAGGGTTTGGTCTATATAGTCCCCTGAAGAAGATGGCAGAGTGAGAATGGTTTGGTTTTTGTTGTTGCACGAGAGATTAAACCCTGGGTACCCACAACTTGAGGCTTGGTGGTCTCTGAGCAGGAAAGGGAATCGAACCAATGGGCCGTCGGTGGTGCATGTCAATCCACCGCAGGTGGTAGTGCTTGGTACTACAAGAGGAAAGAAGAAGAAGAAGGTGAAGATTTCTAAAATAGCCATATGATATGAGTGAGCCATACGCAGTGAAAAGTTTACTATTAATATTTGACAGGCCTATGTGACTGAGAATAAACCCAACAAACTTTATGTATTATTCAAGGGCACATAACCAAAGGAAATTACATCTCTTTCTCTGTATTATTCAAAGGCACATAACCAAAGGAAATTACTCAGAAGGCACGTACCAATTGTAAGGCAAATTAAACATCATGGCTCCATCACTGAAAAAATATTACAATTCCATATCCGTACGCGTACCTTGACTAGTCTTACATGACAATTATGTCTCCATCTCATCCCAAATATATATATATAGTTATTCTCTTATCCGGATGTCCGCACGTTATTATCGTGCGGATCCTATTGTAAACAGGCAGGAAAACAAAGAGGGGTAGTACAAAATACACTGCGTCCGCACGATAATAACGTCCGGATGTCCGCATAAGAGAATTTCTGTATATATATATAGTCAAATGGCAGTCACAAACAAATTGATTTTAAATAATTGCATGCGAAAGAATGACAAAAAACTGGAAAAGTGTATCAACTATCAAAATGATGCTTACGAAAAACCAATTTTGGTGAAAAAAGTTTTCCAGAACCTACCTCGCGCTTGGGGCCGTCGTAAGGTTTTTGACCGGTATAATGTTACCCAAAAACAAATGATTGAAAGACGCGTACCAATTGCAAGACAAATTAATTAAACTTTCATATCACCATCACCGAAAACATATTTGTTGTGAATTAGAGACTAACTCACTGCCCTTTTAAGATCTTGTTGTTGATGGACTTTGGACAAAGAACTCAATGATGGATGAGTCTTACACACACACACAGAAATTAACCAAGCACAAATGACACAAGTGTTTATAGAGGTTCAGCAAATTGCCTACATCCTCTTTGGTGATTATCATATACAAGTCAAATGGAAATTCCATATCGTACCTTGCCTATATGAAATAATAAATGTGGCACCCTACGTACTTTCCTTTTGAGAGAGACGGAGAGAGCTTATAGCTAGACTAATCAGTGATGAGAAGAAGGTGTAACCAAGAAGTTCTTTTCCTCGTGATGAAGGAATTGAGAAGAATTCCGACTTTGATAAAGAAAACATACTTTTATGAAGAATCACCACTTGTGGGCTCGTTTGATGTGATTCTTGATAGACCAATAATCACTTTTATGGAGAATACTTCTCCATATATAATCACTTTAAAATCACCTTATAGTGATTCTCCATAAATAACCTTCTTCTTAATTAGCGCAAAACTACCAAATCCAAATCCTTTGCTCAGGTTATTGCTTACCAAAATTTAAAAAAAAAACTTAGAAACTATATTGCTTGGGGACGTGATATAGTGTGATATAGAATTGCATGATAATGGAACTGGTGAGTTCAAATACCAGAGTGAGAATTCCAAACCACTCCACAAGTTTAAAACAGGTGATATTATTCCACTTATATTGCTTCATATTCTCATTACATTTACCCTTTCATTAGACAAATTATTCATTTATTCCATTGTCTGTTGAAGCATTACCCCTTCCATCAAATCTTCACTTAACCCTGTAATATATTCCAGAAACCAAAATCAGAAATTAGTTCCTTTCATATAAAACATTTGCATCATGATATGAAATTAGAGATAGAATTTAGAGCAGAAATGGTTAATTACTGGGAACAATCGGTGCCGCTAGAGATGGGTGGAAGTGTGACCGATAGGCCACAAGTTTTGGGAAGAGATGAAATCTTAGAGAAATTATCAACAGGTGCCCCCATCAAAATTGCTGCAGCCTTGACGCAGTCACATATATTTTGTTGGCCTCCCTTGGCGTTTGTATACTGTGCGAGGTCCAGGACACCATCACAGCAAACCTTGGCTGGATTCACCTCACCTTGAAGTATGTAGGGAAGGCAAGGGGTCAAGTGGTCGAGGATGATGTTGCAGTAGGGCGATTGAGGATCAGCACCCATGGCGGCCCCAGAAACCATTGAGATGATCACAACGGCTATGATCTTTGTGATTGGATGCATCATGTTTGGCCTTATAATAGACTTTGATGTAGAGAACTTCAAAGTATTTGTATGATCTATATGTGTTGCTAAAGGACAAGTTCATATATATACATGTTGATGTAAGAATTTCATGTTCCATATATTAAGACTTGAAAGTTTCAGATATGCAGGAAATGCATTTTTCATGTGCAGGCTGTTGCATCTGTCACACAAGTAAAAAGAAAGTGATAACAATTGGGCTCTTGCTTTAAAGTTTATTGCCCGGTTTTGATTCTTGGCCAAGTTGACATTTTCTAAATTTGTATAAAATGTTTAGATTATCGCTTGTACTAAAAAAAATATTAAATATTTATGTTCTTACTAACATCAATATTTACACCCATAATTTTTGTTGATGTACAAGTCCTTTTCTTTGTTATGTACACACAAAAACAAATATTATTGTATATACAAGGCCTTTTCTTTGGTCTCGCCCCAGGCCTCACAAATGTAAGGGATATATATATGGGGAACAATTATATATCAATAACCAGTACTACATAAACATATTGTTATCTCTTTTGTGGGTTTCTACAAACTGGGCAAGTTGCATTCATTCTAAGCCACTCATCTATGCAATTAGCATGGAAATAATGGCTGCATTCTGGTATGGTCCTTAGTGTTTCTTTGGGCTGGTACTCAGCCAAACATATTGGGCAAGTGTTGTCATTGAGTTTTGGCAATTCCCAGCTCTCACCAAGTTGAATCTCGGGATATGATTCGATGGTCGGATCATCAAGGCCAATTCTGACTGTCGAAGGTCGTCGATCGGGTATGGTGGATAACAGTTGTGTGATGGTGGGCTGGTGAATCTGACCACGAACCCTCATCTTGTTACAAACATAACCTGCAAGCCCTATGATGCACAGTAGCCCTGGAATTCCCACGCCTATCACTATGCCATACATTGCAGCTCTTGGCAGACTTGAAAAGCCTGAAATCACTATAATTTCCATAGCGTCCCATTAGTTCGGGATAAGTAAGACAATATTTAGAATATGATTTACATTTATATATAGGAGTTTATATGTATTTATGGATATCTTATCTCGAATTTGTTGATCTAAACCGTTATCTTTTTAGATTCTCCTTCAACGACCAACCATACAAAAACTACTACTTCACAAAAAAAAATATAGCTATTTGATTACCATCAACACCGTTTCAGTTCTTTGTTTTTCTTTCTGCGATCGACCATGTACTTCAGATTTTAAATTGAACTCTTAAAATTTGGGCGGTAACTCAAAACTGGACTTTAAACCTATGATCGTGGATGTGATTGTACACACTAAACTAATCAAGCTTATATCAGGGATGGAATTAAAAATGGAAAAGATAATTATCAAAAGTGGTCGTCACCGAAGCACCTTGTTTTGTTGCAGGCTAGAAAATTAGGGCCGGCCCTAAGATTTTGGTGGCCCAAGGCAAAGTAAAAAAGAAGACCCTATAAATGCAAGACTAAGTACAAGTAAAAATATTTGTTTTCATTTATACGTGTGTAGATAGAATGTAGAGCTTTTACAGCTAGTAACAAAAATTAGGCCTTAAAAAAATTTCATTTTCCTTGTGGAAACGTTTAAAAATGATATATATAAAGCAATGATTGAACACAAAAAAAAAAAAATTGAAAGAGATTGGAAGAAAAATATGACATTTTAAGTAGTAGAATGCACCAAAGAAAGAAAGAGAGGTAGAACAATATATGTTAATTATATCAACCACAAACTACTCCTTCCAAAGTCATTTATAGTCGTTTTTTTTTTTCAAAAGATAGTCCATTTGATACATATATAATCTGTTAATGTATGAATTTTGAGTATTTCTTTTGGCTTCCCTTGACAATTTTGTAATAGGATTTTTATTGTTTTTATCAAGCTCAAGTTTAGATTAAGAATAGCTTCTCTAGGTGTTCTTAACTATCAACTATCCTATGGAGGTTCAAGCAAATTGACAAAGGTAAATTTTGCATTGCATTTTCCAACTTCTTAAGATTATGACTAGTCAACCTCTGCCTCAGTAGGAATTCCAGCTCAATGTTCCAGCTGGATCCTACCCATATGTTTTTGTCTTATTCTGCAAAATTCCCAGCTGTCATTGTACGATTCTAACCTAGGAATTTTGGTGTAAAAGGAAACCAATTATTCTTTTGGTGGCCGTCACTTTTTGTAGGCAAGTTTTGGAAAGTTTCTTTAGAAACTTTTGCTTCTTCCTCAAGAGCCATCTTCATATTTCTCATCTTTGAGTTTTCCAAATTGTTTCTTTTTGAAAACTGCATTTGAAAAATGAAAATCTGCATCTAGCTAATTAAAACACTCTCTCATTTATATCTAGGTCAGATTCAAGATTGATTTCTTCAAGAGTATGGTTTCTTGAAGAAATTGGCCATTCTCCTTTGAATCCAAATTTTGGTTTCATTCTAAGTTGGAGCTGGCAAGCTAGTGCCATGGGATGATCGAGCTGGAGAAGGAGCTCCCATTGCCATGATGAACTGAGCTTTGAGCTTTGCTAAGTTGGAGAAGAAGATTGCACAAAGGAGGTATAGCTCATTTTCCTAAATAGATCTAGGTTTTGCTTGAGCTTGCTTGTATTCCTTTGTAAGAATCTTTTTCTACTTAGTGGATTGCCTAGTCGGTTGATGACTCCCAGTTTTTCCCAATGGTGGGTTTCTGGGTAAACAAAATCTGTTTTGCATATCTGTAAATTTTTATGGGTTTGTGTTCTTAGTGTTTGACTAGTCATCTATATCTGCTGTTTGCTGTTTACTTGATATTGATGACTTCACACACTTTCACCATAGTTGTTGCTAGCACAGGGGATGCCTAGATTGACGGGTCCTTCTGAGTGCCTAGGTTGTCACTAGTAATTCTCTAGGCTTGCAGGTACATATTGATATGTTATGTGTATGTTCTTGGTTGTGATTTTTCATGTCTGACAATTGACTAGTCATAAGAATATTGGTCAATATCTAAAGTGTGTGAAGTTTGTTGTATTTTTGTTTGAGTGTCATTTAATTTACCCCTCGCCACCTAAGTGCCAATTTCATAATCAGAACATCAACTCATCAATCATCATAAAAGATGCTTCCTTTTATATACTCTAGACCTTCATATACATATATATATACTAGTAAACTACTGTACCTCATATTAATAAACTATTTTAGAAGCATTTTTAAAAGAACAATAAAATAAATAAATATTTTAGGGCCCTGCTTGAAATGGGGCCAGGGCAGTATCCAAATAAGAAAATGAATATGACATTATAAAACTAACATACCAGAAGAACCAAAGCACCGAATTTGAGAAGTTGTAGTACCATTTTCCAGCCCACAAACACGACCCTTAGCTTCACAAGAACGACAATTAGGACTGTCCCAAGTCAACTGAGCACCAAAGTCAAATAAAAATGGAACCAAAGCTGTCGAAATTTTAGAGCAACCAGCCGGCAAAGGATTCGGAACCGGCGGAAAAAGTATCGGATCCGGCTGCAAAAGCGAACTGGTTTGTACAACGTAAATGACCTTGTAGTGGTACTCGGTGAGGCAAGGGATTGCGGGTGCTGATTTCCATGGCCAAGATGCGTTTTGGGACGAGCAGCCAACGAACGTGTAGTTTTCAGTGGCGTATACGTATAAAAAGGGTGAATTTTTAAGATTGATGTCATGGTGGAGGAACCGTCTTGGGAGGCAGTTATCGGGGTCGTTGATCGTTAGGGTTTGGTACTTATAGTCGATGCTTTGGACGATGAAGTCCCCGGAAGAAGATGGCAGAGTGAGAATGGTTTGATTTTTGTTGTTGCACGAGAGATTAAACCCTGGGTGCCCACAACTTGAGGCTTGGTGGTCTCTGAGCAGGAAAGGGAATCGAACCAATGGACCGCCGGCGGGGCATGTCGATCCACCGCAGGTGGTAGTGCTTGGTACTACAAGAGGAAAGAAGAAGAAGAAGGTGAAGATTTCTAAGGTAGCCATAGCCATATGCAGTAATATTTGACTGGCCTATGTGACTGTGGCAATTATAAACCCAATAAACCAAATAAACCACATCGCTTTCTCTGAATTATATTCAAAGGCACATACCCAAAGGAAATTACTCAGAAGACACGTACCAATTGTAAGACAAATTAAACATTCATGGCTCCACCACTGAAAACATATGACAATTCCATATCCATACGTATCCTGACTATGAAGTATAATGCACAAAATATGATAATGAAATATATATATATATAAGATCATTAGCTCATGTATTTTCACAAATCCCTCCAATCGAAACAAACCAGTTGTCCCTAACAACTGATTAAGACCATGAAATCTGCTCCAAGATGTTAGTAAATGTAGCACCACTTTCCTTTTGAGTTCATCAGCTTTGTGAGAGAGAGAGAGAGAGCTTAGCTAGACTAGAGAATAATCATGAAGGAAGATCAAGAAAAACAAGAGAAGAGAAGGTCGGTGAAAACTAATTATTTAATTTTTGTGTAGTGACCCGTACAAGTATATTATATGCCAAATCAACCGTATATATATGTACATATCTCTTTGGCTTCATTAATCAAACGTAATAATCCTAGTCTTACATGACAATTATGTCTCCATCTCATCCCAAATATATATCTATATATATATAGTCAAATGGCAGTCACAAACAAATTGATTTTAAATAATTGCATGCGAAAGAATGACAAGAAACTGGAAAAGTATATCAACTTTCGAAATGATGCTAAAGAAAGAAGCAAATGCTCATAAATTTATATTTTCTGACTCCAATATGTAGGGGAACTGGGGTTTTAATTATGATTTTTTAGGAAAATTAAGTAGATTTTTTTCTTTCTACAATTTGGTTGAGTGGTGGCAGTAAATTACATTCTATTAGGGTTTATGTTATTGAGAAATCCATATTTTTATTGTTGGTACAACGTGAAAATATATATAAGTACGTGTTAATTTAAGTTTCAGGTTTTGTTTTCAACTAAAATTAATTTTTACATCAACTCAACAAGCCAATGCATGCAATTACATCAACTAATAAACTATCTGCATCAAATTTAATTTTATCCCCCAACAGTAGAATTACTCAGGTAGAAACATAAAGCTCACGAGAATAAAATGAGAAGGAAAGAAATTAAATAAGGGAGCTATATATGGGTTGCCAAACTCACATCGATCTTCTGTATATATTCATCACGGTACTGAAGCTTATGACCATCATATCTATCCACCAACAAGAACCTCCGTACGCCATACTTTCTGAGGTTGTAAGAAATACGAACAAGAGAAATGGCAGCCACAAGAGACCATTTAAAAAGTATAGCATAGAATATTTTAACAGTATAGCCGCCCGGCTATACCATTTAAATAGAATGTTTTATAAGTATAGCCGTTCGGCTATACACTTTAAATAGTATATTTTAAAAGTATAGCCATAGTATATTTTAAACGTATAGCCGCGCAGTGATACTCTTTAAATAGAAAGCAGGCATGCCCTTATATCAGACAGGTTCTTGTGGTTGCGGCAGATTCTTTTAACTTCATCATTTCCAGACGGACAATGATAAGATGAGAAAGTTTTGAATAAAACAGCATTGCCAGAGCAAAACACTATTCATACAAATTCTTCCTCTAATCACAATAGGAAAAGTTTTGAAGACGAAACAACATGCCGCGGGCAAAAAGACAGGTATCACAGTTGTATAAATTTAGCAAAAACCCTCTGTATAGTAGCTTTAACGAATTCAGATTAACAATCTCCAAAAATTGTCTTCAACAATGGATTGTAGAGTCTAAGGTAATTGTGCTCTCCTTGTAATAATTACATAGTAGAGGATCCTCATCCTTTGTGTGTGCAAGAAAATAAGCTTCTTCTTTTTTTTCCACGAGCATTAAACTGTCTCTTCCGCCCAACTTAAGGAAAGGTATAATAAAAATATATTTTTAAAAAGCTTAGGGCCTGTTTGATAACCATTTGAATTTTAGTTTTTAGTTTTCATTTTTGTGCTAGAGTATAGACGAAAAAAATGGGAGAATGGAAGTGAGATCAGAGTGGAGAGATGAGATTGAGAGGGAAGATGAGAGGGGAGGATGCGTGGGAGAAGTAACAAAAGTGAAGACTAATCCTACAGCAATTGGATTGATTGTAAGTTTTTGTTTTTTTTATTTAACTGATGTTTTTTTTCTTATTTAATTTTTAACAAGATGATAAGAAAGTTGTAAAAAAAATATGGATAAATTAGTAATTGTAAAGTTGTAAAAAAGTCAATACATTTAATAAGTGTAAATTAGGAAAACAAAAGCTAGCTTGTCTCAAGTATTTAATGACATTGTTTTAAGTGTAAGTAAAGTGACACATGTCATTAGGAAAATGAGAGGAAAAAAAGGGGAGAATGGAAGTGAGATTGAGAGGGAAGATGAGAGGGGAGGATGCGTGGGAGAAGTAAAACAAAAGCTAAAAGCTGAAATCTAATTCAAATTGTTTTCACTTTCAAGTTTTTGTTTTCAGTTTGTTACTCCTCCCTCTCATCCTCCCCTCTTATCCTCTCTCTCAATCTTATCATAACTCTCATTCTCACTCTCATTTCCTCTATACTCTGGCACCCAAAAAAAAAAAAAAATACTAAAATTAAAATGGTTATCAAACGGACCCTTAAAGACTATAATGAATAGACAACCAAAAGCTTAAAAAGATAGTTCACAAATTGAACTCATTTCCTAACTTTCTTTTATATGGGATGAATCCTATCCTATTATATTGCAGACTCATCGCGTTTGAGAGAGTTGAGAAAACAAAAGTCAGATTCTATAGTATCTTCCATTTTGACCACTAGACATGAAATGCAGATTTCGTGTACTTCATCAAAACTAAGGGTATAATAAAACAGATAAAATCAAATCTCAATCACTAAATGACTTATATTGTTATGTCTATCCTGTGGATTTCGACAAAGCGGGCATGTTGCATTCAATCGAAGCCACTTGTCTACACAATTAGCATGGAAATAATGGTTGCATTCTGGTATTGTCCGCAGTGTTTCCTTGGATTGGTACTCAGACAAACATATTGGGCAAGTGTTGTCATTAGGCTTGGGCAGTTCCCAACTCTCACCTAGCAGAGTCGTGGGATATGATTCGATGGTGGGAGCATCAAGGCCAGTTACGATTGTGGGAAGTTGCTGATTGGTTACGATGGATAATTCTGTGATATGCCGGTGGTTTTGACCATTAACTTCGATCATCATTCTGCCGCACATATAGAGTACAAGCCAAATGATGAACAATAGCGGAGCAATTCCGATGGCCATCATTATGCCGTACTTTACAGCTCTTGAGGGACCGGAAGAGGCTCTAACTGCAACATTGAATTGCATCACATTAGTTCATCATCATTCAAGTATGACAATATCTAGGATTTATGGAAAGAGAGGGCAAATATTTTCTTGTCGCACAAATGCTTATGTTGCTAAAATGTGAATACGACTGCCTATTTAAGCAAGAATCAACATGATCAATAGTTCATATTCTAAAAAAATATAAACACGATTGGGGAAGAAAACAAATTATATTATGTTCATCGAATTAATTAATCATACCCGTGTGTATCTTGGAAGGACCAAAGCATCGAATTTCCAAGCTTTTTCCATTTTTCAACCCACAAGCCTGACCCCTTACTTCACAAGAACGACAATCAGGCACCTCCCATGTCAACTCGAGACCATCGTTAAAATGCTCCCACTCTAATGAAGTTGGAACCAAAGTTGTCGAAATTTCATTGCAATGAGGCAATAATATCGGATCCGGTGGCAAAAGCCAACTCGTAGGCAAAGCAATGACCTTGTAGTAGGCAGTGCTGAGGCAAGAGATGATGCGTGCAGGCAAGATGGATGGTTTAGAGGAGGAGCAGTTGAGGAACGTGTAGTTCATTGGGCCGCCAAAGCTTAAGTATGAAAAGGGTGAATATTCTACAAGACTGGTTTCATGGTTGAGGAGCCGTGCAGGGAGGCATTTATCAGGATCGTTGATCGTTACGACTTGGCCATTGTAGTCGATGCTTTCGACGGTGAAGTCCCCAAAAGATGGGAGAGTGAGAATGGTTTGACTGTTGTTGTGACATGAGATATCAAACCCTGGATACCCACAACTTGAGGCTTGGTAGTTCCTTAGCTGGAAAGGGAAATTAACCAATGGGCCGCCCGCGGTGCATGTCGAGCTACCGCAGGTGGTTTTGGTAACGGCTGTGTGAGGAAGGAAGAGGAGGAACAAGAATAAGATGAAGAAGGTGAAGATTTTTATGTTCTCCATGTAGGAAGTGAACCATAGACTGAGACGGTGATCAACTAAACCAACATTTTGGGTTGCAACGGCCATTGACCGGCCGATTACTATGACTCCATGAACCCAACATTAAGGCCAAATTAATAACATAGTCAATCATTTCTTTCTTTGCATTATTCAAAGCCTAGGTGGGTGAAGATTAACTTTAGTGTTTGGGTAATGACCAGCCCAAACATATTATAAACAAATTCAACCATATCTCTTTGTCTTCATTAATTGAAGGCGCAATATTAAAATATGTATTAATATACAAATCAAACGGCAATCAGAACATTGACTATAAAAAGCTGCAAAACAATGACAAGCAAATGAATATAAACTATATAATAACGATGGTGAAGACGATGATGATTCACTACAAAAAAATAGTCCTAATTGGGTTGATAAGAGATGACCCTCTTGTCCTTCGCAATCCGAAATAACCTTTTTTTTATTTTTTTATTATATGAAACAAAGAAAATTATATGAACCCCTATATTCGTCTTGTGCATGCCAAACTAATTGGATGTGCCATATTTGGCCTTTTAATCTTGTACCGTACATCTAATTCATTATTGTTTTTATATATGTTGCACTGTATATATGATAGGGTAATGCTAGAGTTACCGTATTTTTATACCACATTATGTATCATATCTCTAATAGAGGTGTTGCGAGGGGAGAAATTTATAGCCATGAAGACATATACTTGTGTGCTTGATATATAGGTCGTACATGGTTAATTATGTTAACTATTTTGCATTCAACTCATTTCTACCGCACAAATAAAACAACATAGGAAATACTTTACTTTACAATAATTCAACTGATTTCCTAATTTCTTTTTTCTCGAAATCTTTCATATATATGGGATGAATTGTATAGGATCTTTCCTATTAGCAAGAAGCGTTCATCAAATCTCAATCAATTCGCCTGTGGATTTCGACAAAGTGGGCAGGTTGCATTCATTCTAAGCCACTCGTCTACACAACTAGCATGGAAATAATGGTTGCATTCTGGTATAGTCCTTAGTGTTTCCTTGGATTTGTACTCAAACAAACAAATTGGGCAACTATTGTCATTCGGCTTGGGCAATTCCCAACTCTCACCCAGCAGAGTCTTGGGATATGATTCGATAGTCGAAGCATCAAGCCCCGTTACGACCGTTGAAGGTTGTTGGCTGGTTAGGGTGGATAATTCTGTGATGGGCTGCGGGTTTTGACCTTGAACCGTTTTGTTACAAAAAGGAAGTACAAGCCAAACGAAGAACAAAAGCCCAGGAATTCCCACGCCCACCATTATGCCAAACTTTGCCGCTTTTGAGAGACCTGAAGAGACTTTATCTGCAATTGAATTTTATCCCATTAGTTTAGGATCAAGTATGACAACATTTAGACAAGAATTGTAATAGTCTAAATTCAAAGTTTGAGGTTGGGAGGAGAACATTTATACAAAAATCACGTGATGTGTGTAGGATTCTGATCATAAAGCATACCAGTATGTAAGCATTGAATTGTCAAACTTTTGCCCTTCTTCAACCCACAAGCCTGATCCCTTTCTTCACAATAACGACAATCAGGGACGTCCCATGCCAGCTTGAAACCCCGGTTAATTTCCCGCCACTCAAATGAACCTGGAATCAAAGTTGTCGAAATTACAGTGCAATTATGCAACGTTAACCGTGGCTGAGACCAATTTGTTGGCAAAAAAAGGACCTTGTAGTACTCTGTGCTTAGGCAAGAGATAATGTTTGAAGGCCAATATATTTCTTGATCGGAAGAGCAGTTGAAGAACGTGTAGTTTTTAGTGTCCTCAAAACTCAAGTAGATAGAGAAGGGTGTGTCTTCAAAACTCAAGTCGCGGTGGAGAAACCGTTTAAGCATGCAGTTGTCCGTGCCGTTGATATATAGGATTTGATCTAGGTAGTTGATGCTCTGGACAACGAAGTCACCAGAAGATGGGAAAGTGATAATAGTTTGACTTTGGTTGTTACATGAGAGATCAAACCCTGGATATCCACAATTACTTGAGACTTGGTTGTTTCTTATTTGGAAAGGAAATCGAGCCAGAGGGCCGTCAATGGAGCATGTTGAGCCCTTGCAAGGGGTGGCAGCTCTGTGAGGAAGGAAGAGGGAGAATAAGAATAAAATGGAGATGTTGAAGATTTCTAAGGTAGCCATGACAACAATAAACCATACCAATATTGGGTCGTATTGACCTCATGACAACAATAAACCCAGTCTATATAAGGCCAACGAAACATCCCAGTCATCTCTTTCTACGAGATGACAAACATATGAGATAAAAACGACGCGCTTTGTTTAAACAAAACAAACCAAACCAAAATCCACAATATATTGTAGGACTTATTACATGTGAGAGAGCTAACTGGGTGTAAAACAAAAAAGTATTTTTCCTGATGAATTAGAGCATTGTGAGCAGTTGGTACTTTGTGCGAGGAAGGCAAAATAAGAAACAGAAGAGAAGGAGGCGATGAAGATGAACTTTTAATACTTGGGTTCACAAATAAATAACAAACCAAATTAACCATATATGCATGTATCCATCTCCTTGTCGTCATTAATTAAAGGCACAACACTTTAATAATAGTATCCATACATATGGCAATTTTATGTCACCTTCCCATCCCAAATATATATTGTGAATGCCAATCGTATATACCATAGAAAGTAGAAATTACAGAGTGATATTATATCATCACGTCAGATGGTGATACTCCTCCTTAGAAATTGCCATCTATTTTTATTTTTAAAAGTTAAAACTAATTGGAGCTGGATATGTAATTATACATTTACCCTTTCAAATAAATTATTAAATATAAATAAATAAATAAAAGAGAACGATTGACCCAAAACTGCCTCCCCCCTGTGCATATATTAGCAATATACAAATCAAACGATGATCTCACAAATATACATTGACTATAAACGGTTGCAAAACAATGACAGGCAAATGAATATAAACTATATATAATAACGATGCTAAATAAAATGAATGACACTACCCAAAAAAAGAGTCCTATTTGAGGTGATAAGAGATGAACCCTCTTGTCCATGCATTCTGCATTCTGAAATAACTTCTTCCTATTTTCATGAAATAAATAAAAAAATTCCAAGAGGAAGATCAAAAAGGATCCCAATATTGGTCTCGTGCATTCCAAAATAATAGGATGTGCCGTATTTGGCCTTCTAATCTTGTAGCTTACATCAAAGTAATTAAATAGGAAATACTTTACAATTGAACTCATTTCCTAACTTTTTTTTCTCGACTTCTTTCATATGGGATGAATTGTATAGCATCTTCCCTTTTGAACACTGACATTAAAAATCCAAGAAACGTTCACTAAATTATTGTTATCTCTCCTGTGGATTTCGACAAAGTGGGTAGGTTGCATTCATTCTAAGCCACTCGTCTACACAACTAGCATGGAAATAATGGTTGCATTGTGGTATAATCCTTAGTGTTTCCTTGGATTTGTACTCGGACAAACAAATTGGGCAACTGTTGTCATTCGGCTTGGGCAATTCCCAACTCTCACCCAGCAGAGTCTTGGGATATGATTCGATGGTCGAAGCATCAAGCCCCGTTACGACGGTGGAAGGTTGTTGGCTGGTTAGGGTGGATAATTCTGCGATGGGATGGTGGTTTTGAACTTGAACGGTTTTGTTACAAAAATAAAGTACAAGCCAAATGAATAACAAAAGCCTAGGAATTCCCATGCCCACCATTCTGCGATGGGATGGCAATTTTATCTCACCATCCCATCCCAAATATATATTGTGCGAATCAAATGCCAATCCTAAATACCACAGAAAGGACGACGTTCATGTCCAAATCGAGTTATGTTAAATGTTGTGCTTAACTTGATTATGATATCTAACTTGATTATGATGTATTGATGTAACTACGGAGGGAGAAATTATACAATAGTATTGTAGTACTAGGTGGCATTTGTCAGGTGGTGGTACGAACGAATGATGTGACGACATCTGAGCAACAGCTACTAAAAGAAAAAGAGGAACAAAAGTTCGTTTGATATTACCGTTAACGTCACCCATCAAACCTTCGTGGAAAATGTACAAGAAAAACTTGTATACCACAGGAATATAGCATTGTTTTGTTATCCCAAACCAATCATGTTCTTCCACGCGTGATAAAAATTCCACATAACGGAGTGTGATTGGATGGGAATAACAAAACATTGTTATCCCAGTAACATGCACTACTAGAAATGTGGCTACTAGCCACTGATTATTTAGATACAAGTTCATTAAAGTGCCTTGTGAATTAAGTCTTTCTCCAGATGTACAACACCTTCTCACTGCCCAAAGATTTGCAAGTTTTTTTCCTTCTTCTTCTCTCTCTTTGGTTCTCTCTCAGAAGCCATGGCCATGGGTGTTCTCATTCAATCCACTGAGCATTGTTCTTATATTAAGTATTGTCAACAGTTCTTTTGGGTTAACTATACACCCATTGTTTGAGCCTAAAACACTCATTTAACAAGAATCCACGTTCGACTGATACTCCCAATAGCTTATCCAAAGCAAAGATCCTCAAACTAATCCCCCTTTCCCCCCAAAAGAAAAGGAAAATTCAATGATTTTCTTTTACTAGCAGACCAATAAAAATTGGGAGAAAGATGATTTCAATTAATTTCAAAGAAAGAAAAAATCAGAGAAAAAATTAAGAGGAATGAATATCTGAAAGCATCAACAATAACATTCAAGTAAGCTTTTTTTCTCATTTAAGAAGAAATCGTCAGTTTTCTCATTGATACCTTTTACCTGTTGCGTTAGCAAGGAAATACAGATGTTGTAGCAGTTGGTAGAATTGGTTGTATAATGTGTATTTCTTAATGATTTATTGGAATATGAAAAGGAATTTGAAGTTTGAATTATTTTTTAAAAATAAAATAAGATAGTCTGATGGGCATTTTCCGTACATAAGCAAGCAACCGTACAAAAGTCAATATAAATACAAATACAAGACTTGAACAAATATAAATACAATTATAAAATATTTTGATTGCCCATGGTGTTGGAGCTATAGAAAGTCAACATATTGTGTCACCAATGTTTTTTAATCGTAACAAAGACCAAAAAGTCACGGCCGTCACATATGTAACAAACCCAAAATTCGTAATTGCAGGGTGACTGTTGGCTTTAGTTGCTAAAAAAACGTTACTAATAAGAACAATAGTCACACAAAAAATAGTTATGACTGCCGCTTTTTTTTTAGTGTAGTGATTTTTGGCCAATTTCTTCAGTAGCTTTATGAAGGATGAACATGGCTTCTCAATGAGTCAAATGCCAAAAAAAATCTTGCAGAAATGGCAGAAACGCCAATACATCAATTCTTTTAGCATGATCGAGTTGGCTCGTAAAAGAAGCAAGTCAAACCCTGATAAATTTTAAAGAAACCAACTTATTTACACATCTACATATATAGTAGTACAAGACAATCATATCTCAATGACTTAATGACTTTTTTTATTTATCTCTCTTGTTGATTTCGACAAAAAGGGCATGTTGCATTCCTTCTAAGCCACTCATCTACACAATTAGCATGAAAATAATGGTTGCATTCAGGTATGGTCCGCAAAACTTCCTTGGGCTGGTACTCGCACAAGCATATTGGACAAATGTTGTCATTAGGCACAGGCAATTCCCAGCTCTCACCGAGTTGAGTCTTGGGATATGATTCGATGGTGGCACCATCAAGCCCCGCTATGCGTGTGGAAGGTCGTCGATTGGTTATGGTGGAGACTTCTGTGATAGGCCGGTGGTGGTTCAGATACATTCTGTAACCCAAATAAAACGTAAGCAATAGCAGAGGAATTCCCAAGCCCATCATTAAGCCGTACTTTTCAGCTCTTGCAGTACCTGAAGAGGAACTACCTGCAAAACTTAATTGCATCCCATTAGTTCACCATCAATTATAACTGCATGTTTGATATACATATGAATTTGTACCCGAGTTTCAATTTGGTCCTCTAATTTACTTTGTAATTTCTGGTCTCATCTAATTGTGTCAGAGTTGGCAATTTGATCATTCTGTCAAATTCCATCAAAATAGATAGGTCATTTTTCGGGTGATTTGTACATGATTGACAATTCTACCTCTCAAATTAACAGTCATATTGACAGAATAACCAAATTGTCCCTATAACACAATTGGAGAATGCTAGAAATTAAACACTAAATTAAAGGGCCAAAATGAATTTCGGATCCATATTCAGCCACCATTGTATATATGTGTAATATGTGTAGCATCACTAATAATCAAAGAGCATACCGAAATGTGAGCCAGAGCATTGAATTTTCAAACTTTTGTGATTCTTCAAACCACAAACCTGGCCTCCTAATTCACAGGAACGACATTCAGGCATGTCCCATGTCAACTCGGCACCACGGTTCGGATAATCCCACTCGAATGTACTTGGAACCAAAGTTGTCAAAATCACAGAGCAATTTATAGGCAACGGTTCATCAAATGGTGGCGAAAACCAATGCGTTGGCACAGCAATGACCTTGTAGTTGTCAGTGCCAAGGCAAAAGACGGGTGTTGTATCCCCTTTATAAGAGGAGCAGTTGAGGAACGTGTAGTTTGTAGGGTTCAAGTATCAATGCACCTTTGGTGGAAGGTGCTCCTCCCAAGCCTAAACTTGAGTAACATGGACCTCTTGTGCAGAAAAGAGTTCCCCCTTGCCAAATTCGTTGCTCCTTGCCTCCTGGCTGATGTCATGGTTGAAAAATCGTTTAGGCAGGCAGTTGCCCGGGTCGTTGATCGATACTCTTTGCTCCATGTAGTTAATGCTTTGGAGGATGAAGTCTCCAGAGGATGGGAGAGTGAGAATGGTTTGGCTTCGGTTGTTACATGAGAGATCAAACCCTGGATACCCACAATTACTTGGGACTTGGTTGTTTCTTAGTTGGAAAGGGAAACGAACCAGTAGGGCGCCAGCGGTGCATGTTGAACTACCACAGGCGGTGGTTTTTGCAGCGCTCTGTGGAAGGAAGAGGAGGAATAGGAATATGGTCGAGAAGGTGGAGATTTCTAAGGTAGCAGCCATGTAGGGTCTAATATGAGTCTAAAATATACCGATATGAGTCTAAAATATGGCCGGCCTATGACTGTGACAATAAACCCAAAGGCCTAATCAACCACATCTCTGTCTGCCTCATTTAATTAAGGCCAAATATACTATATGCAATTCAAATGACAATCATCGATATATGACATATACCTTTGTTTATAGAAAGCAAAAGATATGAGATAAATGATTTCATAAAAAACTATATACACAAATCAAATTAAAATAAAATAAAAAGATTAAAGACCCGTTTTGGAACTGCTTTTATAAGAGGCATTTCTACACCAAAGAATTTTTTTGTCAGAAACGCTTTTATTAAAACAACGTTGAAATTTTGTTTGTTAATATTACTGTTTCTGAGATTGATTTCGACAAATGGGGCAAGTTGCATTCAATCTAAGCCACTCATCTATACAACTGGCATGAAAATAATGGCTGCAAGCTGGTATAGTCCTCAGTATTGCCATGGCTTTGTACTCTCCCAAACATATCGGGCAAGTGTTGTCCTTGGGCTCCGGCAATTCCAAACTCTCACCAAGCTGAGTCTTAGGATAGGACTCGATGGTCTGACCATCAAGCCCCATTCTGAGCATGTGAGGTTCTCGATTGCTTACTGTGGATAGTTCTGCAATTGGCTGGTGGGACCGACTACCGGCACTTATCAAGTCACAAACACAAAGTGCAGTCCCAATGATGCACAAAAGCCCAGGGATTCCCATGCTTATGATTATGCCAAACTTTGCAACTCTTGAGAGACCTGAAAAGACTGAATTTGCAACAATATATAAGGAATACCATTAGTTCATGCTCAAGTATGATGAAAATATTAATTAGGACGTGTTTTTAATTGCAATGGACTATGAATTTGGATCGACGTCCTCTAATTATGCCACGCCTGATAATTTGATATTTTTGTCAAATTCCGTCAATATGGCCTCGAAATGAGTATAACCAAATTGACAATTCTACCCCTCAAATTGACGGTTTGACCAAATTACCACGCATATTAACTGAAGGACCAAAATAAAATCCAAGTACAAATTCATGTGTAACATATATATATTTAATAATATTTACTCAAAAAAAAAAAACATACGGTAATCTGAAGGATCAAGGCACTTAATTTGCGAACTTGCACCGTCGAATCCACAATAAAGACCAGCTGCTTCACAAGAAAGACATTCAGGCTCGGGCCATCCCAACTGAAGACCTTGCAACGGATCAAATAAGCTTGGAACCAAAGCTGTTGAAATCACAACGCACTGCTCCGAACCGTTACCCGGGAGCGATAACAAGCTCGTTGGCGCTGCAATGACCTTGTAGTTCTCATTGCTCAAGCAAGAAATTGGTGCAAAAGTCCATGTTGCTGCAGCTGCAGCCGAGCAGTTGAGGAACATGTAGGTTTCGAGGCCATGCGCGTAGATGAAGGGTGAATCTTTAAGAGTGACGTCATGGTCGAGGAACCGCTTAGGGAGGCAGTTATCCGGGTCGTGGATCGATATGATTTGGTCCTTGTAATTGATGGTCTGGACGATGAAGTCTCCGGAAGATGAGAGAGTGAGAATGGTTTGAGATTCGTTGTTGCATGAGAGATCAAACCCTGGATATCCACAATGTGAGGGTTGAAGGTTGCTTATCCGAAAAGGGAAGCGAACCGATGGGCTGCCGGCTGTGCATTTTGATCGAGGACATGTGGTAGCTCTTGCTGGTGTGTGAGGAAGGAAGAAGAACAAGAAGAATAACAAGGTGAAGATTTCTAAGGTGGCCATATGAGCTAGGCGGGGAAAACCAGACCAATATATAGGTAGTGACCGCCGGCTTACTATATATGACTATGCCATGACAAAACAAACCCAACAAACAACATCGTCCACGTTAACTAAGGAAATTATTGTATTACAAAACAATCATTGTCTCTATCGATTACAAGCCCTAAGTATATTATATACAAAACAAATCACAACCATACTATAATTAAATTGTTGCAAAAAGCGACAAGGAAGCAAAAAATAGATCATCGAATTCTATGGCGATGGTAAAGAAGTTGAAGATGAAGACATTGAAGACGAAGGGGTTATAAGAGCTGAGCCCTCCGGTGACTTCCGGCAAACGGGGCAAGTTGCGTTCATTTTGAGCCACTCGTCTACACAAGTAGCATGGAAGTAATGGTTGCACTCTGGTATAGTCCTCAGTTCTTCATTGGGTTGGTACTCACCCAAACATATGGAGCAAGTGGTGTCGTTGGGCTTGGGCAACCTCCGACTCTCACCTAGCAAAGTTTTTGGGTACGATTCGATAGTTGGACCGTCGAGGCCCACTACGACAATAGCGGGCTGCTGAGAAGCTGAGGTAGAGAGGTCCATGTTTGGCCGGTTGCGGCGACCATAAGCACTTATTCTGCCGCAGACATAACTTGCTAGTCCAAGGATACATAAGAACCCGGGTATTCCCACGCCTATGATTATGCCGTATTTTGCACTTCTTGGAAGACCTGAAATTGCAATAGACAACGTTAGTATTTTGCAAAATTCTTTTGTCCTGTTTTTTTTAAATAATAAACTATAATGAACAACTGGTGCATTTACACATCACTAATGACGTAATGTAATTGATTAAAAATAGGATGATTTTGGCCACTACAAACAAAAGCTTAATTTCTTTGAAGGGGACTTCTCAGAAGTTGGAACCTGATGATCATGGCATTAATAAATGTTTGAAGCTATAAGTTGGTAAGCATGGAAACTTTCAGTCAAGCTACGGATTAGGACAAAAGCATTGTTGATCACAAAGGCTCACAACAGTCCAAAAGTCAAACTAGGCTATAATTAAAAGGCACCACCATGCTAACGTGGCATTACGCGTCACTGCCACATAGTGGCTTTGCTAATGATAGAAAGAAATATTGGGATAATTCTAAGGTTAAAGTCACATTCTAACTTTGAGGACCACGAATGATAAAAATAAAAAAATAAAGATGTAATCTGATAGTTTCGTAAACCTTAGGAACGTTTTGTGATATTAAGCTTTTTCCGTATATAAGAATAACAAAAATAATAAAAAGTTTCCTAAACACAAACTAATGTTCTCTTAAAAATGTGACACGTTTACATTCAAGCAAAATTTCTACCTTATCAATGATCTGGATTAAAAATCTAAAAAAAATAGTATCTTAAACTGTTTATCAAAACCAAATTTCCCAATAAAATTGTGGTAAACTTTACGCATGATAAGTGAGTGAAATTAAATTAACCACAACCTGGTTCGGCCCCAACTATGGGTGGCACCTTTAAGCCTTAATCACAACCCAGACTAATCCCCACTCACACCGGGTGGGCCCGTAAGGGGTAAAGTGTTGGCCAAAGTGGTGACTCCGTACGAGAGCATGGATCGAACTCCTGACCTCTCTTAAGGAATGAGAGTGCCGAACCACTCACACAAACCACCTTGGTTGTTGTTAATTACTTTCAATCATGCACATAATTAATTATATATATCAGCGAGTAATTCAAAAAACCTACCTTTTGTTTTAGCCTTAGGATCAGAGCAGACAATCTGACTAGCATCTCTGTTTAACCCACAATCTCTCCCAATGGCTTCACAAAGGCTACAATCAGGCGTTGACCAAGTCAACGCAACACCTTCTATGGCATCTCCAAATACACCCCATTCATGCGTAGCTCTTGCCGGAACCCGAACACCCGAAATCACCGCGCACGAAGGTCCTGACGACGATGGTGACGGCGACGGTGACGGAGCCTTAGACTGAAGCCAATTATCGTACTCTCTCGACGGCATAGCAAAGACCGTGTGATTCTCATCGCTGAGGCAGGAAATATTCCTGGCCGTGACTGGAAACGACGTTGCCTGAGGCGAGCATTTGAGGAACGTGTACATTTGGAAACTTTGGATGCGGAACGGCGTCGTGTCGGGGGGGTTGTCGAAGCTGCGGTCTAGGAAGCGTTTGGGGAGGCAGTTATCGGGGTCGTTGACAATAAGTGTTTGGAGATCGTAATCTATGGTTTGGACTATGAAGTTATTGCCACTAGAGTTTGTGAGAGAGAGTGTGGTTTGAAGGGTTTCGTTGTTGCATGAGAGGTCAAACCCTGCATACCCACAACGCCGGAGTTGGAGTATCCGAAGCCGGAAAGGGAAGCGGACTGTCGGTCCGCCTGGGCAGCTTGAGTGGGGGCAGGAAGCCCGTGTTGGAATGATGAAGAAGAAGATCAACAAGAGTAAGAATGAGAAGAAGAGATCTAAGGCAGCCATTTGATAGCGAAAACTAGAAATGAGCTGTTCGGTGAAGGGTTTAAGCTAGTTAGGCGTATAGAGTGGTTCATAGCTAACCTCAAGCTATTTTATGATGAATGATTGTGAAAAGAATATGTAAATGGTTTGACATTATAGTTGGGCTGGAAGTCTCGTGACGTGCATGTGGCGGTGGGAACAGGGCGAATGTCATCGCCTTCAGACTGTTGTTTTGTTTTGGATATTAAATTTGGGTGGCATGGCATAATGGAAGAAGTCAGCGCTTGATACAAGAAGCAAATTGTTGGGTCCAGGAAGGCTTTTTGAATGCGGCTTCAAACTCACATCACATGGAGTGACAAGTTTACAGTTTGTTTTTGACAATTTTACAGTTTGTTTACCGAGACCATCTGAATCTTCTAAATTTAATTCATTAAACATGAAGTTTACAGTTTGTTTACCGAGACCATCTGAATCTTCTAAATTTAATTCATTAAAGACCAAGTCTACTTTTGAACAATTTCTAGAGAATATATGACCTAGGCTGAAAATTAATGTAAGAGTCACATCCTATAGTCCATTGATTCGATGCATATTTTTCAGAGAAACCCAACAAATAATATCAAAACTAAATTAATTTCAAATAATAATAATAATATCGATTATATATTTGTATGACTGACTCGTTAATTACATAAGCTTCAAACTAGATCTCACATCGAACAACGGTTCATAATCATTTATATGTTAGTTAAGACAAAGACAAGACATAAACAAGACCCTAAACCAAGGAAAGCTTATCTACCATCTCTCATACTTTTACATGTTTACATATCCATGTTTTAGGGATGTTTACATATCCATGTTTTAGGGATACCTTTTCAGAATTTGTGGTATTAGATGTAACTAATAATTAACCTTGTACAATTGCATATATCTCTTCATGTGAGTAATACAATTCCAGATTAGCATTCACTGCAAATCTTCTTCTCCAATTTCATCTCTATTCTCTCAATTACACTATCTTTGGCATTATATACTCTTACTTTTTGTTCCCCTCACAGTCTTCTTTAATCCAATACCTAGCAAACAAAATAAATTATTGAAATTCAGTTTGAAACATGAAGCACCAGTACGTACGTAATAATAATTTCCAGGCACCATTATATTGCACGTCAGCTTTTTAGAATAGTATGTTTGTTAAAGTTTATCTGATTCCGACCAAAAATTAAATACGGATTCTGTAATTAATCAAGATTTCGACCAGTACTTGGCTTAATTAATTTTGAAAGGGCAGTGAGATAGACGTCAGTAATAGAAAAAATCAAAAGAAAAGAAAATATGGCACTGAAACTCTACATAATTAAACAAAAAATATTCATATACCATTGACAAAAACACAATAATTTACGATAAATTGATATTTAATTATGTTTGGTTGGATAAGATTTTCACGTCACTAACTAATGTGAAACACGATATGAACTTCCAAGTCATATATGATATACCCACTACTAGAAAATCTTATTATAAGCCACAAATAACCTATGGCCTATATTTGTGTTGGTTATAAATAAGAGATATTTAGTCATATACTTATTCTTAGCACTAAAATTATAAATAAACTCTACACCATTTAGTTTCTATAAAAAGAACCCAAAAAGTGATAGATGGCCCTATTGAATTTAATTTTGATTATTAAATTACTTTGATGCCATATTGAGTGTTTTGGGTTTTTTTTATGAGGTTTTGGGGTTGGGTTTGTTTTAAGAAATCAATGGTAGTTTTGTAATTTAAAAGAAGTTAAAAGTCTTTTTGTTATGTTGAAAATGGACTTTATGTGTGTTTCTAAAATCCATTTTATATATGGTTTTTTTATAATTTGGACTCTCATATTGGGTATAATACTAAATCTCCCTGTAAATAATCCATGTCGTGACCAAAGGGTGTTTGCCACCACAGATTGACCACATAACACAAAATTGTGCTAGTTGTGGTTGTTGCCGTTAACTTTTGGTACTAACATCACCTACTTTATTTATTTAAAATTTGACACTTGAAGCCTTATATATCGAAAAATAGCCGCGAACTACTGACGAAGCACCATAGAAGCCAACCTAATGGTGGGGAGTATGTGAATGGTGTCTTGGCTCAATTCTTCAAGGACCAAGGTATCATCCATCAAACCTCCACACCCTTCACTCCACAACAAAATGGTGTCGCCAAACGAAAGAATCGCCAATTACTTGAAGTTGCCCGTGCCTATATGCTTGATAAATCTGTTCCTCATCACTTATGGGGTCATG